ACTCCCCCCACCCCCAAGCCACTGAGTCTTCAATTTGAAGTTTCATAATAGGCCTACACTATGTTTTATGTTCCATATTATTCCATAATATATAATTCTCGTCCAAAGAGTTCTCTCATAACAAAAGTGGTACGGATGAGGGCAGTATTTATAGATTTATTTTCATCAGTCGAGTGATGGATCACTCTCTAAACGACTGAGCTGTTCTAGTATCTTTGGCGGGAGTTACACTTACCTTGTTTGATTAAGTAGTTTAGCGAATAATAACTCTTCATTTACTGAAAATGGGATTTCGTCGTGCAGTGGCCCTTGCAGTAGGGATTTTTTTCTTTGCTTCTGGGTTACCAAAAGTTGTACCTTTGCAGCCATTGCATAACAAAATGGTAATCTCGCTTCATTATCATCAGTGACTAGGCCTAGCCTAGCTACTGTACTATGCCGTAGGGCGTAGGCTAGGTAGGCCTAGGCCCCTAGGCCTAGTTTTGGCTAGCTAGGGAGCCGCCCCTGCCTCCGATTATAAATAGGTCTAAGTAAGAAGCCAGCGTGAGACAATGTTCCCTGGCAATACAGTACAATATATATAGGCTTATGGCCTAATTGGATTTTGTAAGGCAACCATCATACCACTGTCAGTTTCAATTATAATGGCTTATCAAGGTGGGGAGGGGGGGGGGGGGTGTGCCCAAAAAAGCTTTTTCTTCATCTTCCTTCCAGTGGGTCCCCCTTTGAAAATGTTGCACGCTAGCTCCCCCTTACCCTTTATCTGCCAGTGATAAATATGGTCCTACCATTAAAATACTACTTATACTGCTTCTACATTTTCTATATAATAACAACTTGAAAATATTTCTTACTTATTGCATATTGTATTTTCGGTCCAGGTTTCTGAATTCAAAGCATTCAACAGGGTGTTCCCGCTCAAACATTTTGGTGTTAAACTTGAAGCAGATGTGTACCGCACTCTCATAGGTGTTTTGGAAATCGCAATGGGCGTTTTGATGGCTTTTGGACGGTCTGACGCTGCATGGTTCAGTACTGTTGGTCTGCTCACAATAATGGTTGGCGCAGCATATACTTTGATTGCCCTTGAAAAGCAAACGATGGAAATAGCCATCCCAGTTGGTTTTGGATGTGTCCTGTTCTGGCTCCTGTTTGGTGATCGATACTAAAAGACTGATGGCGATTACCAATAATTCTAAAAGTTGCTATTTTGAAACTTTTTATGTTTAACATTCCAAAAACAAAATTTAATTCAGGCTATACTAGCTTGTAAATTTTGTAAAGAATGAATTATAATTGTTATTTGACTTAACATACAGTAGTTAATTTTTTAGTTGTGTTGTGTTTAATTGTTTGCGTGATTAATATGTAATGGTTTTTGAATTCTGTCATGATTATTTGGAAGCCTGCTAAGTTTTCTTGTACACGCACTAATTGACCATTGGGATTGATAAAAATCTAGTTGGGGCGGTGGGTGGTGCTCAGCTATTTTGGGTAACAAAATTTATGAAGGACGAATAGAAAATTCAGTATAAACTGCCTAACCTTTGACATTACCCATAAGTCACTGCACATGTGAAACTATCAAGACAATTTATTGGTACTTACAGTGATTAGGCCTACATTAGGTTTGTACTAGTCTTGGTATTCTTATCATTTCTGTATTTGACTGTTCCTTGATATAGTGTATAAAATTACTAATTGATTGATTGCGAAAAGTTTTATATACCGGTAGTTGGAGGGTTGAAAGAATGTTAGGCAAAGTGAATTTTGAATTCATTTGGAGCTAAGCTCCATTCTCAGGTGATGGGTACTAACAGATATATTGTTTTGAAATCATGGATTTTATAAATTGCATTAAATCTGTTGATTCAGTATGTTGCATACTGTATTTACCAAATAGAATATTTATACTGTAGCGATAGATATTATTTCTAGAAAAAAATAACTACTGTAGTGATATTTTACAGTACTAATTTGTCTATGCATTTTTTGACCACTGTATGTATTTATTCTGTACTGTATACAGGGTTATAATACTGTACACAGGGATTTGGAGTGGATGGGGGGGGGGGGGGGNNNCAGGGTTTTTTTTTGGTGTAAAATTAATAAATATTTGTGTATACTAAACATATTGTGTATGGGTATAATAAACGTCCCTTCACGTCACTGAAAATGTAGAGTACAGTAAAGTACTGTACAGTATTGTCAAAAATGTTATTGTAATATCATGATAGCTTATAGATCCCAGGTTATCAGTAATAGAGTAAATCACTGGTGATCGAATGATGTCTTTTTGGGGAGAGGACGTTTATTGGATGGAAATGATGTTCTAGATTGGTGTCTATGCGATTTGAATAAAATACAGAATACTGTGTAAGGTAGGCCAATGTAAGTGTTAATGAGGAGAGGCAAAGCAGTCTCTTGACATGATAGCCTCCTGAAGGTGGTCTTATTTATAGCATGGGTGGAGGCAAGGAAGCACCCAATGTACAAGCCCAAACCAGTCTACGCCTGTCTTGCTGCGCAATTGTCTAGAAATCTGGGGGCTCACTTGGTATTTAAACTGAGAATTCCCTTGTGAAACGGACTGTGAAAATCCCCCCTTCACCCCAGCAGTACAGTATTATGAACACTACTGATTATTGTTGTACAGTGCTAAATTGAATACAGTACGACGACTCTTCCTTTTATAAACTGCATATTTGAAATTACATATATAAATGCAGTACTGTATATACCTTTTACTAACTGCTAAAACGAGTATTCAATTGTAGAGCAAATAATTGCTCTATAGTCCACCTAAAAAATGAAGCATTGAGATGTAATTTAGATTATATGTCCATGTGTGGTAATTGTTTCATTAACATTAAAAAAACAAATATACTTCTTGGTTGTCGCCTTTTCATTAATAAAGTAAGCACAGTTACATCATAAATATCAATGGGAAAGGCTAAAAGCCTGTTAGTGTTATATTCAAGATAAACAAGGGAACTGAAGACCATCAACATTAATAATACACCCTCCATCTGCCACCTTAGTCATTAATTGAAGCAATATTAACGTGTGTTCGCTAAATTTATACTGTACAGTACACACATACAGTAGCTTGGCTGCAGTTGTTTTTCCAGAATGTTTCAAATGGGGTATATGCCTCGCACCAGAACATAAGTGGGCATGGTCAGAGAAGCTATGGCAATGTTTTTTCTCTGCCAAGGAGCCCTTCCCCACTGGCATTACCCCTGCATTGTGATTTAAAGTTATTGGAGTTTGTTAAGAATTTGAGCCCAGGAACATTGTACAGTAGTAACAAAAGTGACAGACGTATCACTCTAATTTAGCATCATCATCATTATTAGCATATTTCATTTGTACTTAATACCTTTGAAATAATTGCAACATAAATTCTATATATAAATAATAATACTGTACTGTAATATTTCATTCTTATATAGCGCAAAGTAAGCAAGCTCTCAATGTGTTGTACATAAAAAACAGAATAAGGACGTCATGTATAGATTTATCGTCATCTATGTACAGTACCATCATATACAGTAATAGCTTATTGAAGTATACTGTTGTTACAATAACTTTGGAACAGTCTACCTACCAATTTAATTAAATCTGTATCAACAAATTTTTTCTCAATAAATCTAAAAAAGTATCTAAAATCTACATACAGAGTACAAACATCACTTAAGAAATGGATAAAACATTAAATTATATTTTGGACAAATAAATATGCAATCAAACAAATTACAGTATTGTAATGTTGTATAGGCCTGTTCCAGTCTCAGGTGTGTTTATATGTTAGTGATTAACAGAGTATCATTCTGAATTCATTTTAAATGGTAAGAATACTTCACATTGGTAGGCACAGATTGCTGTTGGATTATGGTCCATTGTTTTGTGTGATAGGCCTATATACACCTACCATGGACATTAAAATGGCTGTTGTTTTCAGTCTAGGTCTCTATTTCATTTCCTCTGGAATCACAAAGATATTACCACTTCAACCGTTACATGATCGTGTGGTAAGTTTTTATGATCAATTTGGTTTTAGTAGCCTATAGGTCTGTGTAACATCAGATGTATCTGAATGTTAATTAATTTTGTATGACAATAAAATAACAATTTCGAAAGTATGTTTTTCTTTTGTTATTTGAATTAACAGGAATACACAACCCAAAGATAATTTAAGCGAATTGAAATTCTACTTGCAGTAATATATTGATCAAACATACAATATTATATCGTCGAATCTGCAATATACCACCAGCCCCTGTAGTCATGTAGTATGACACTCACCTTGAGAGCAAGAAATCACAGGTTTAATTCCTGTCAGGGGCACTTTTTCAAACAATTGATTTGGCACTTTTCATTGATAGGCTGCTCAATACAATGTTTACTATTCATCACTGTTTCATTATTCGAGCACTGGTTCTACAATTACTTGATTATTTATATGTACATTCCCCAGTGCTATGCAGCAACATTAATTCTATATACTTATTATATATATAATATTTTATATATATAATATTCAAATACCTTGAATACAAGCCCAATCAGCTTAATATCGAGAAAAAAGCGCATCTCAAAAAGAAGCCCTCTCGTCATTTTGCAAAAGTAGTAATCTCGAAAAGAAGCCCAAAGGCTTCAAATCAAGATACAGTAGCATGGGCTTCAGACTGATGTTGTCTTATGATTTATCTTATGAATATTATCTTATGAACATTATCTTATGAATATTATCTTATGAACATTATCTTATGAACATTATCTTATGATTATAACATATCAGTAATAATATTATTATATTACAGTAGCATGGTTAAAATTAAAAAACATTAAACAGAATTTCAAATTCCACGGTTGAAAATTGTCGTAAAGTAGCAATTCTAAATATTTACAGCCGTCATTTTGCAAAAGTAATCTTGAAAGTAAGCCCATCTCAAAGAGAAACCCATCCCAATGGTCCTAAAAAATGAAAGAACCCAGAGATTCTATTGGAGGTTTTTACGGTAGCTGAATAACAGAAAAGTGCTTGCATACAGAAACAAATAAAAATATTTCTATTATGGTATTTTAATCTTGCAAAACTATTGTTGCAGAGACTGACTAGAAGTGTGCATTACAAGGGCGTAGATCCCGGGGGGGGGGGATATTTGACAAGGGGGATGGTCTCTTGTATCATCCCCCAATATTTTGACTATGTATGGGATAAAATGGAGCTTTACACACTTCAAAAGACTGCCACAGAAATAATTTGCAATGTATTATGTGCTTACAAATATGAAAATTAGCATAATGTATTAATGTTGATAATAAAATTATTTTATCTGGTACCAATCTAAGCTCTTCTTTCCTTAGATGTTAGATGTGCTTACAAAGCAAACCACATTTTCACACTGAAGGGTGTGTACGATATCAGTAATTTTATGTCAATTCCAAGAATTTTCAATCATCCCCCCACCCCATTAAAAAATACTTTTCTACGCCACTGGTGCATTAGCTTGTGTACTCGCAACAGACATTCAATATTTTTTTAAGAAAACTACCATAAATGTGTAGATTTTTTTGGTCACTGCATTTTCCAATATGGCCTCTACCATAATTCATACCTATAAAACTTTAATTTGCATTGACCAACATCTACGAATGGAAATGCCATTAGATCAAACTGTTTGTTGTAATAAAGTGAAATGTAGTGGACTTCTGAGCATCTGATAAGTATAAAAATATTAGAGTCCAGTTTTGTGAATTTATCATGTCGTGCCTTCTTTTCCTTTCATTATATACCGACTGAAAGATTCCTCTTCAATTTCTTCCATTCGACCTAAAAATAATAATTTTAAAAAAATAAGGTGATGGTTCTATTAATAAATAATGTACATTTAAAATTCATATTAATAATAAATATCACAATAATAGTAAAATGTTAGACTTGTATGCGAACAAGAAATCTAAGCACTTCATCTTGTTACGCCCAGTCATTGGATCAAAGGAACAAATACTCAGCTCCCTGAGAATTTTATAGCAGCTAGTTATCAGCACATTTTGTGTTTCAACCTACCAGGTACCCACTTGTACTCCTAGGTGGAGAGTAAAGTGCCTTGTCCAAGCACACAAGCAAAATACATAGCCAGGGATTGAACCTCCGACCTCACAGTGAGAGGCAAAAACCACAACTGCTGCGCCAAGCTGCTCTTACCATTAATTTAGTCAATAATATTAGTGTATGCTTACTTTAATGTTTTTTCTTTTGATACCAAGTCTGATCACGCCTACATAAAAGTTACATCATTATTATTATCATTATCATTATTACTATTATTTTTATGAACAATTTACCTTCTGTATCATCTTTATCAATTTCATCATCACTGTCACCTCCGATTGCAATGGCAATCTTGTGTTCTTTATCAATTGAATCTGTTAAATAATAACAATATTTAATACAGTAAAAATAATATTATTCAAAATAGAAATAATGATTCTTCTGCTGCTAAGGATGATAAAAATGATGATGCTCATGCTCATGTTAATGATGATGCTCATGCTCATGTTAATGATGATGCTCATGCTCATGTTAATGATGATGCTCATGCTTGTCTGGCTTTCCTTTTGAATGTTGTCCTTTTTACTCTTTTACTCTCTTGTGCAATTTTTTGATAAGCCTAATTTCACCTTAAATTCAATTTCTGTTTATTTGAAATTTCAATATTAAATAATAATGTATTATCAAAACTGCTTTTCTCAATGTCTTATCTGGGTATTTACTTGGTGAAAAACAGTTACTACGATATACATCAATTGATACATTTGCAGCACAGTAATTCACTTGCCTATATCGGACAAGACACTGGTCATCTTGACACTTGGGCCGCTACCTGAATCAGATTTCAATTTGTCCAGTTGTTTCTGCTTCTCTTTTTCAACTTTCAACAGCTGTATAAATTAAAGAATGAAATAGAATATAATTAATAAATAATTATGTTCATTTCAATCTCCAAGTAGTATAAATTGTAATCTTATAACAACCATAATAATACATTTTTGAATCTCGTACCTTTTCCTTCCGTAACTTTTCATATTCTGGTTTATAATCGCTTAAAAAAAAAAATAAATTGATAGATAAATGTAAGTGTGTGGAGGCAAGTGGTGCAGTGCTAATCAAAGATCATGGGTTCAATTCTGAGGCTAGTCACTTTATTATGTTTTTGGGTAAGACACTCCGCATAGCTTATATCCACTCAGGATTCTAGGCAATGGTCAAACCAAATTACCCAAGCTGTGCGGAAACCAATTGAATTCTATCCAGCAAGAATAACAATTTTCACATTTAAATGCACAAAATAATCATGTGTTTGAATAGCCATATTGAATAAAAGATGATTAGAATTAGAAATAGAATTGATACAAGTACTGTAATGTAACCTACGTTTCATATTCTATTACTGCTTCATCTACTGCCTTAAAAAACTCCTCCATGCCTTCACCTGTAACAGCTGAAACGCCAACACACTAATAAAAAAGCAAAGGAAGAAAAATATAATCAAATTCAATGCATGTAAACGTAATTCTTACACAATTGAGATTGTTTCTACTTCTTTTATATTCATAAGCCCTGTCTCTTATACACATCTAGATGTGTATAAGAGACAGAAAACATACTGTGTACTTTATCTCAATCATATATTGAAGAAAAAGGATGCAAAAACTTAGATTTACATTAAATAACTTGTGGCCGAGTTGACTTGTGGCCGAGTTGATTTGTGGCCGAGTTGACTTGTGGCCGAGTTGACTTGTGGCCGAGTTGGCTGTAGCCAAACTTTTTGTGGCCGAGTTGATTTGTGGCCGAGTTGACTTGTGGCCGAGTTGACTTGTGGCTGAGTTGACTGTGGTCGAGTTGACTTGTGGCCGAGTTGACCTGCACCCATCATAAGTACTCCCATACCAATGGTTAATAATAAGCCCTCCTGGATTAGTACTTCTGGACACTTACCCCTAGACCAGTACCCCTGGAAACTATTCTCTGGGCACTCTGAAGAAGTACCCTAGATAATCACAAAAGACAAACTGCCACTTTGACATTCACCCTCTAAAGCCTCATTTTACAAGCTAAAGTATAGTACAAGTTGTTGATTCAAGTATGGTCAGAGAGGGTACCTGCAGGCATACAGCATGTTGGACATGAAGGTCACTGGATTTACACTCCTCGGGGTGTCCATCACATACACTATCACTGTTGGAAATGTTGAGCCCTACAAACAGAAACAAAAATGTTATATGTTAGTAGGCTTCAGTGGCAAATAATATTCAAAGGAAGTAGGGTAGGAAGAACAACAAAGTCTGGGGTTGTGTGGGGAACAGAGCTGCAAAATATAAGCGAGTTTCAGAGCTTACAAAATAGAAGGATTTGGGTAATTAATAATTTTCATACAAATTAGTGAGAGAAGCCACTATGTGCAGTGAATCATAGAGATTCCCATGTCTTCATCCATTGATGTTCCCCTGTTTCAGTTGTAAATTACTGTACAGCACAGCACTTTCAAAAGAAAGGATTAAGCTCTTGGTCCTACGATAATTCTTATATCTTCATAATGTTGAATATATTTATATGTAGGTAATAAGAGGTTTTTTTGTGCTTGTATAAGTTGTACATTCTAATGGGTCCGCACAAGGCGCTGACACCAGAGCCTCACTGCTGTTCTTGTTACCAAAACTTTAAAAGCATTCAGCGTCGCCAGTTTTGAACATAAACTAGAGGTGATTTCCAACAAACGTTCATCGCCCTTTTTTTTAAGTTAGACCCCAGGGTTCCCCTACACCTACAAAACAAAACAGATGTTTCAGCAAGGACTCTGTACATTATTGCCATTACCACTAATAGGGCCCGTCGCATGGATGGCGCGGTTGGTTAAGGATGTGTTCTAAAGCACATACGAGTTTGAACGCACGGACCAGTGAGCGGTCGCTCTTGTTTCGTAAAGGATCCCAAATGATTATTAGATTTTGCATGGTTCATTTTCATGAAATATTGAAGTAAAAAATAAATAAATTAAAAAAAATAACCTACCAGAGTCTCTGATATGATTGTTCCAGAAGCTGACCAAGTGAACACTTCAATCTGACCAGGTGTGTCCAGAATAACATGCCTGAGAAAAAAAATTGAATAGTTTATCACCAACATCAGGTGACCGACAGTGGTGGCTTCACAAAGTTGTTGATAGGGGTACAACAAATCCAACAGGGGGGTAAACCAAGAAGCCCCTGCTCAGGATAAGGACTAAACAGCTTAACAAATAACAGAGATGAGGAAGAGAGATCATATAGTTTGGTGTGTAAAAATTGTGCCTTTAAACCACAATTTATAAACTGTAATCACAATTATATTTGTTTTAATTGGCAAACTATTAATTTTGGTCCAACGACTTCAAAGGATTAATTAAAGTCAAAGATTACACAATTCTTTTCAATGGTCCTTCCAAAGGACTTGGTACTTGTATATGGTTTATAGTGTTTTTCCTTCTAGTTACGAAGCGCTAAGGACTTAAACATAAATATTAACAACCAAAATATTGTACGTAATACAAAATATTAATTACAGTAATTAAATATACAAATTTAAAAAATATCTACAACATTAATTTCTCAAAATAGTTGTTTTTTTTACTACAATAAAACATTCAACTTAAAACAGAATAAGAATTAGTAGAAGACAGCATACTTAGATTTTTTACTGCCCTGTTCAACAAATTCCATAACTTGGTCAAATTTTGTTGCGAAGAGGTTAAGTGAAGTCATTATTCCGCCATTAGGTCCAAGTCCATATTGCTTCATTATCTCTTTGTAGTTTACGGTGTCTCTGATATCTAAAAAAAAACAGGATGAAGTAACTTAACATAGGTGTCTGATACAGTATGACGGTGGGAACGAAAAGGTGCAAATGTTTTTGAAATTGGAATAATAGAAATTGCATTTAATTTAAAACTTACATCCCTGTATTTTAGTAATATAATAATGTAAAACTCAATAAATGATTATCTAAACTGACTCACCAATGTTGGCTGGAAAATTAACCTCATGTACTGCCGGATCTAAATTAATGACATAGGGAGGCATCTTCTTTGCATGTAAATATCCAGTTAACCTCTGTATTTAAAGAAAAAAGCTTTATTCATTTAAAAACACTTCCAGAAGGAAGGAAAATCTCAAACTATGGGTTGTGACCCAAAAGTGGGTTGCCCAAACTTTTGCGTTAGGTCACAACCATCGTTTAAAAAAAAAACTTTTAAAAACAGATTATCAATTCACATGTGCTAATTTATACGGTTGATGCAGTAAGTTGCTATTTAGAGATTGATGTAACCTGATGTAAGGTCTTTAAAGACTAACGACGAATTGAAAAGAGTATTTTAGGTGAACCATTATTAAATGTAGAACAATATTTTATTATATGCCCACAATGAATATCTTATATCTTACCACAACATAATTGAGATTTTGGGTCAGTCAGACTTGGGCCACACAAAGTACAATTATTTCTACTCTTACCTCTTGTACTTCATTTTGATTCTCAATATTCGGCCAATTTCCCCTGTGCCGGATGGGGACGACAGTCAGTGGCGGATTCAAGGCGATCCCAGTAGCCCCACCCCCTAAATATTTCAAAATAAAAAAGTATAGAAAAAAATAAAATTGTGTTCATATGCAAGTCATATGATTTCCGGCCAACTAGAGGTTCTATAATCATAAATTTCTCACCTCAGCCCCAACCATCCCATCTATCTATCTGTATAGTCCCCTCTATTACAACTTCCATGATCAGTAACTGATTATATAGTAAGCAAAACGACTTATACCTCCATGTTTAGATGATGATGATATTATATTGTGGATACTCAATCAGACACGTAACATGTCTGCCCTGAAGTCCAGTTAAAATATCTTATTTAATAATACACTAAAATGAAATTAAATATACACTATAACTTTAAAAAAAATCATAAAAATAGATTTTAGGCATAGTCCTATGTGTATATAAGCAAAAAACAAATTAATGAATATTCTTTTAAAAATTGCAAAGACAGAGAGTCATACAATGAATGATGCTAAAATATCTGTAGAACATCATTCCATATACCACCTTTTCCGTTGTGTGCATTATTCATATTAACCTTTTCTCATGTTTTAGGGGCAGCTGACTCTTTCGAGATACAGTAACTTACTTGCTGTAGCTGTCTTTCCCCCCATTCTTTGTTCGCACAATATCTCCAAATTGCCATGAGCTACGAACATGGCAGCTTCAACGAAAATTTGGGTTGGCCTGGAATAGTTGTTTCCTGTTGTTTTTGTGCTTTTAATTGTTTATATGAAAAATGAAAAGATTGACAAGCTTGTTGGATATTTATTCTAGGGCCATAGAGGCAAAAGCTTAGCCCTAGCTTGGCCCTACAAAGGGGTTTCAAGTGAACTCAGCCCTTAACCGACTCAGCCCTTCACCAACTCGGCCCATGAACCAATTCGGCCCTTGTCAACTCGTCCTACCAACTCGGACCATAACCAACTCAGCCCATACACCAACTAGGCCCTTGTCAACTCGGCCCTTAGCCAACTCGGCCTATTCACCAACTATTACACAAATTTGGCCCTGAACCGAGACAATGTCACAAATAAATTTCAATAGTACCTTGAAGTTTATTAATAAATACTACAGTGTCACTTGGTGTTACTTATTTTTCTTTTTTTTTACAAAGGAAACAACTGCTCAACTGGTTTGAGACACACCCTTTTTATCATTTTTTGCATTACCATTTAATTACGATATGTATTTTAATCATGTTTATAAATATTTAAATAAAATGGAGACTTATGAAATAAGTATATTCAATAGTTGTCATACATTTGTTTTATTGTTTGTTACGTTTCCATTTACCATGTTCTGATCATGTTTCTAATTCTGTACAAGTAAATTAATACTAAATGATATGATGAATGAAAATAAAGGAAATATATAGTATTTTCATACTTTCCATATAAAATTATGAAATATGTTTAATTATAACCGTACATTTTATTGGCCGTTTTATCAGGCTTCTTTGATATTCATAAGCCTGACAAAATCATTCACTGTGCTATTACTATAGTTGCATAACTAGTATAATTTGTCGAAAGAGACGTCCACAAATACTGAGATTCTCATGTAATGGTACTCTTGAGGCAGAGCAGACACAAGGTTTGTATTTTCTTGTTTGTTTTATTTCCATTTTTGAGACAACAACATATTCTGATTTTTATCAAATACACAAATAAATGGAAATATATAAAGTAAGACTCATCATTGTGATTCAATACTTCCATAAATATATAGTTTTAATATAATTTATAAGTAAATGTTAATGGCCATTTTGGACTTCATTTTATAGGCCTACTGTATAAGCTGGAAAAATGATCTACTCTGATGCCTATATACAGTGTACTAGTTGCCTGGCAACTTAAGTATAAAATCTGAAAGAAAATTTATTACAGACAGGTTCCAGCACAGGTACTCTTGAGGATGATGCAGACACAGCATCTTTGCATAGAAACTAATTATCTGATTTAATGGCGAAACCAAAATTAGAGATGGTCAGGATTTTAAAACCAGCCTTTGAAAGGTCCAAAAGTCAATAAAATGATAGGATTGTTTTCAACGATCTCAAAGATGGCATGCAGGATTAATATTTTATATAATTAGTTTGGTTTAATTCTTACGTTTCCATCCAGCGTTGGGCCCACTATTGTAACATTGAAAACATTACTATGTGGATAAATATTACCATATAATTTACAATAACAATGCCAATAATTAATACATAGTTGGTAGAAGTGTCCTTGTCGCAGCCCTGGTTAATTGATAATTCTACTACCAACACACCTGTGGACACGATGACAAGATTAACAAACAACATTAAAATATGTCAAAAGGCTACATTAATTACATTAAAATTAATAACAAAGTAAATTAACAAAGACATGCCTACATTACTGCATGTTCGTGTATCGCCTTTATTACTTTGTGGATAATAACATAAAACATTAATACATTCATGTGTGACAACAAAATAATATAATATAATTACTAAGATTTAATAAACATTAAAAGGCTTTTCCATTAAAATATACCAAAAGCGACTCAGTTCATGGGCCAAGATGGTTAAGGGCCACGATGGATAATGGCCGAGTCGGTTAAGGGCCGAGTTGACAAGGGCCGAGTTGGTGTATGAGCCGAGTAAATTATGGGTCGAGTCAGTTAAGGGCCATGTTGACAAAGGCCGAGTTGGTGTATGGGCTGAGTCGGTTATGGGTCGAGTTAGTTAGGGGCTGAGTTGGTATGGTTCGAGTTGGCGAAAGGGCCGAGTTGATTTGCACTAGTAGGTCTAAGGCCTAAGCTAAGTAATATAATATTATTAAGTGTTCATAAGAAAGCCTAGCTAGCCTAGGCCTTCTACCTAGTTAGATACAAAACCGCTAGCAGGCGCTATAGATCGGCAATACACACATTGCGATAGAAAATAGTGCCCTGATGGAGATAGGATATCCAATGTATTAATTGGGTATTTCGCGGAAGTATACAACAATTTGACCTAATTACTTCCAGATAACTCTCCAGAAATGATTTCTGGACCAAGTTATTGGCTTTTTAAGCGCGCGAATCGATTTAGTAGAAGTTTTTTTTAGTACAACCAATGTTTCGTCGATTTTCAAGAATAAAAGGAAACCTTCGCTAGTTTTTTTGGTTAACATGTTTGTTTTCTTCCGTTTTTAAACTATAAAGATAAGTAAGTTTTAAATAATATTTGTGTGCATATTATTCTATTGTCTTATCACGTACCACAGCTAGGCTCGGCTCGTACGAATAGAGGGCGCCCTTGTTAATTTGCGGCGGCTACACGCAGGGTAAACGATGTTTTCCCCACTGGCCACCGTGTTGTCTGAGGCCTGCAATTAGGTCTAGAGTTATGTGATTCAATATAATTTATTATACGTAGAATCTATAAGTATTATTTTAACATGGCCTAAAATGCTACATAATTATACTGTAAGGGACACACTTCTTGTATAATAAAAACAATAGAAATTAATAACTCCAGCAAAAAACATATTTAAAATAGCAATATCTCCGCTAATATTGGTCCGATTTACATAATGTTTGTTTTAAAATGCTTCATTCAGTTATGCCTTTCTATTAAAAATAAATAAAAAAATATTTGGGCGATTTCAATTTGTTTTGTTTCTAGATACCTAGGCCTAAGCCCTAGCCTAGGCCTAGCCTATAAGTCCACGGTCGGGCATATATGTCCTAGCCTAGGCCCTAGGCCTAATATTTTAATACAATCATAAAATGTTACCTGAACAAAAGTTGTCTTTCCAGATCCTGCCATTCCCAAAATTATTAAACAAGGAGTTGCTTTATTACATTCTGAAGCCGATGCACTGCTGCTGTCTTGTGTTTGCCTTGTTTTGTTGGCTTCAACTTTCTCTCGAGTGACTTCGCTGCAAGTCGCCATGTTGTTTAACTTGGCTTGGGGAAATACTACAATACGGTACGGTGGTACGGGATATATCGTTTGTCTTTATTTATTTTATTGCAGAACGTGGTGCAGTATGTTCAAATACTTTTTACTTTTTTAGGAAATTAAAGTTTAATTTTCCTGACAACATACAGAACTATATACATATGAAAAATTAAAGTATTATTACTTACCAGCTTATGAAATACTAAAGCTTAATAAATACAAAGAAATTGTCATTGACGTTGTAAACATTCCAACGCCATCAAGGATTGGTTCCATATTGTAGACAACATACTGGCAATTTATTTCGCGGGTAATTTCGCAAATTAACTCCGTCTTCTTCTCCACTATACACTGTCACTAGGCCTAGGCCTAGGCCTAGGTTGTTTATAAAATAATATTATGTAAATAATTATACTGTAGTACTGACACAGGAAGACATTTGATGTTACTTATTATTGTTTTTCGTCAAATCCAGTATCATCTAGGCCTAACCTATCGTAGGCGTTAGCTAGCCTAGTGGACTGACAAATCTTAGCCGGCCCTTAGTAGTTAGTTAGCGGACTAGCTAGGCTGGCCCTAGGTAGGTCTGGCCCTGCCTCTCTTGCATAGGCTATGTAATAATACTGTATGTAGTTAGAGTACCTGGCCACCACTGAAACAGTGGAAGTAGACTGTGGCTAGTGGGTGATTGGGGTGTGCCTACTAGATCATGTGACGATGAATTATTTTTATTAATTATTATTTTCTTTCAGCTGATGCAAGCAAATTATGAAGTATTCTATTATTGATAAACTAGCCGTAGTGATCGGTGTGTTCTTCATCGGGGGATGTATTCCAAAGATTGTACCTTTAGACCCATATCATGAAATGATGGTAAGAAGACAAGAGTGGATATGCAGCTTGTTGGTTTAAGTTGCTTAATGTTCAGTCACTCACAGGGCATTGGATTTAAATTCTTTGAATGCAAAACTACTTTTTTCACTCACCAATCCTAACTGCATTTTGCTAATTAATATACTGTACTAACATCCCACGTATTTAGTCTGATGTTTGTAGAAAATTCTCTCCAGCTCTGTGAGTGTAATATATATTGTTTTTCTGAAAATTTATTTTTTAATTCTTTGTATTTCATATTTTTCAGGTAGTTACATTTCAATTCTGGGCGCATGTGTTTCCTTTAGTCCACCTTGGTTTACCAGCGCCAAATGCTGCCCTGTACCGGACAATTTGTGGAGTTTTAGAGCTTAGTTTTGGCTCACTGCTAGCTTTCGGAAGGACACCTTTTCGAAGAGGCTCTGCAGGAGTTTTGATGGCTATTACAGTTATATCAATATATTCAATGGCAGTTCTTGGCAGTACCTTAGAGTTCATTCCAGCTGTTATACTCGCACTGGTTCTACTTCTCTGCATCATCTATGGTTTTGAAGACTCAAAGAAACAGACCAAAAGCAAGAATGAGTAGACCTAATTGTAAATTAATCACCTTAAGAACATAATTGAAGTGTAAATTGGAACATATAAATTAAATGATTGATTGATTAATTGATTAAATCATAAACATAATGTTAATACAGTAGAAATTAAGAATAATCCTTAAGGGATCCATTATACAATTTATAAGAGTTTTTTGTTTCCATTCCAATTCTTAGGACATTGTTGATAACTTTAGGATGCTCAAAATTTTGAAATGATATGTAATTTATATTGTACAGTACAGTATGCAAACATTAATTAAGTGAAAAATGTTTGGAATAATTAAGATAAAGGTTATAAATGCACATTTTTTGCCTGGAGGTGGGTTCTAGGGAGTATTTTCTAAAGATAATGAAATGAGACTAAATAATATTTAAAATTAATTCATTAACAATGTAAAAAGTATAAATTAGCAAGCTGGCATTGACCAGCAGCAATGTTATCTGGAACGCCAGACACTCTTCTGAGTGGGTTAATTGTCTTTATTTATAATTGATTTCTTTAAATTTTTATCGTGTTTTCATTGTCTCTGTATTGTTTCCACCCTGCATGTGCCTAGTTAAGCCATGACCGGGGTTTTTTGTGACATTCTTTTATCGTGTTTTTCTTTAATAAAGAATGATTTTATATGTTTATTTGATATTGAAAGGAAATACTGAAGTACTCTAAACTATAAGAATTTGTATTTTGCTGAGGATCTTAAAGAATTATTTTGTTCACATTTTTTAAACTAAAACAATATATTTTTATAACAATTTTACTACACTTTTGTAGGCCTCATTCTCTTTAAAAAGAACCAAGTACAGTAATAAATGTCTAGCAAAATTACTGTTTGTTGATCATTTATTTTAAGGCAATGCAGTGGCGTAACAGTGAGTCAGGGGGGCAGGGGCGAGAAAGTGTTCCTTCTATATCAATTGAATGGCGTGTTTTCGCCCACAATTGGGTGATGGAGATGTGTGTTTGTGTGGGAAATTTTCCTCTCCCTATGGAAGTAAAAAAAGAATAAGGAAAGACTGCATTATATGCATGATATTTTTTATATGAGATAGGGCCGCCTGTTGGACTATTTTTGCATCTTGAATGTTCACAAATTGTAAATTTAGTCTGTACATCTTTACAACTGCACAATGTCATTTACTTGAATATCGCCATTAACATACATTACATTCACATTGAAATACTGTATATAAAAATATAAGACTTGTTATTTTCCATAGCGAATATTAAATATTGACATTAATCTGCAATAGTCTATTGATAAGCTAGTATTTGGGCTTTAAGTTGCCATACTTTACAATCCAATCAATTTGAGCACGTTGGTAAATTTTTGCACACCCCAAAATGGTAATCTTCGATATGGCACTGAACACAGAAAGACAATAAGGTACAAAACAGAGAGAAAAAGAGCTTACATGTAAAACAGATCTGAGATCTTCCAGAGGTGGCGCCGGTCGGGGGCTCAGGGGCGCCGGTCGGGGGCTCAGGGCCCCCGTCGGGGAGAAAACCACAATTCGTCGGGGAGGAAAAAATATGTATACAGTATGTATTTTATACATATTTAGTAGACACAAAATTGTTTAAATAAGCCTTTAACACCAGGTTGTAAGCTGTCTCTTATACACATCTAGATGTGTATAAGAGACAGATATAACATGTCATTAACATTATAACAATCTTCCAATAAAGAAATTAAAATTATATCAACAAATTAATAATTAATATATTTTTTAATTTATTGTTAAATTGTTCGGAGTATTTATTCGACTCGCTTGAGTAACGAATAATATAGAAACAGGGAACATAACAACAAGGGGCACCATTTTTCCCGGGCCACCTAGAATTTTAGGTGTCCCATGACAGGCGATACGGTACCCCCGTGTTATACCTAATTATCTTTGGCGTTCGATTTTAAAAATTATTTCAACATATATAACTTGTCATTAACATTATAACAAACTTCCAATAAAGAAATTAAAATTGTATCAACAAAAATTAATAATTTATTTATTTTTTAATTTATTGTTAAATTGTTCGGAGTATTTATTCGACTCGCTTGAGTAACGAGTAATATAGAAACAGGGAACATAACAACAAGGGGGGGGGGCACCATTTTCCCGGGCCACCTAGAATTCTAGGTGTCCCATGACAGGCGGTACGGTACCCCCGTGTTATACCTAATTATCGTTGGCGTTCGATTTTAAAAATTATTTCAACATATAAAACTTGTCATTAACATTATAACAAACTTCCAATAAAGAAAATTAAAATTATATCGAAACATAAATAAAAATACAGGGGGCACCATTCTTTCCGGGGACACCTAGAATTATAGGTGTCCTGTGACAGATGATACCCCCTGTGTTGTTATACCTAATTATCGTTCAATTTTTAAAATTATTTCAACATATATAACTTGTCATTAACATTATATCCAAAATCCAATAAAGAAAATTAAAATTATATCGAAACATAAATAACAATACAGGGGCCCCATTCTTCCCGGGGACACCTCGAATTCTAGGTGCCCCGTGACAGATGGTACCCCCTTTTTATACCTAATTATCGTTCGATTTTAAATATTATTTCAATATATAGATTGTCATTAACATTATATTGAACATCCAAAAAAGAAAATTAAAATTATGCCTATATCGACACAATCGTCATTAACATTATAACAAACTTCCAATAAAGAAAATTAAAATTATATCGACACATTAATAAAAATACAGGGGACACCATTCTTCCCGTGGACACCTAAAATTCTAGGTGTCCCGTGTTGTTATACCTAATTATCCTTCGATTTAAAAACAATATTTCAGCATATATAACTTGTCATTAACATTAGAACAAACTTCCAATAAAAAAAAAATTAAAATTATATTGAAACATAAATTAAAAAAAAAACAGTGGTACCATTCTTATCTGGGCGGTCGTTATGTAAATTAGTTATAATGATTGACATGGGGACCCTTCTGTCACGGAGACACCTAGAAGTTTAGAACAACGTATCCATCTGGACAAGGGGACTTTCCCTTTTTGCTGTACAGTACGCACGCGCGAGAGGAGAGTTCATTATTTCTGCTGGAGGAAGAAACTGTAACATAATCTATAAATTGTTTAGCTGTGGAAGTAGGCAAAGCCTACATTGATGATTGTATGTATAGTATTGTTTTAATATCTTAAATACCATTTGTTTTAACACTTAACGCTAAACTAAACAAATCCAAATTATCTCCGTTAGCAGGGTAGAATTACAGGCTTCCTATCTCACCTCACACAAGTACTATATTAGGGCGGACCGCATTGTGAAGGCTTAGGTATTTAATCCCATTAGATAGGCCTAGGAGAAGTATTCAGTCCTAGATAAAATAAGGTAAAGACCTGTCGATTAGGCTAGGTCCGGGCTACCCTAGTTAGAGCAGCTAAGCCTAGTTGCCATGCCAAGTTAGGACTAGTGTATCAATAATAGTTATTCTTCCTCCTTTCTTTGACTTATGAAATATCCATGTTGGTCAAGAAAACTGACTTGACAACAAGCAAAATCCAGTGTGAAATTGGTTGGGGGTGGTGGTGTCCCCTCTCAAAGTAATTTAAAAAAAAAGACTAAGAAAGACATGTGGCAACTAATTGAAAGAATTAGCTTGTGTTGGTATTGTTCAATGATATGGAGTGGTCAAAAATGTGTTTGTAAACACATTTTCTGCCGAATGACTGATGGAGGTGCGATATTATTAGCCTCTCCAAAGGAGCAAAGCTCCGGGGAGGCTATTGTGTTTGCCTATGTTCTGCTTCATATTGTTGTGGTTGCTGTTGGTCATTTGTTAATTGTTACCAAGATAACTAAAGTTTGGCAAGAATCCGATTGTTTACAAAGTTGGCAAAATGCAAGATGGTAATATTAAGGCAGAGCCTATTGTTGGTAGATGTGTGAATATGCTAATTGATCATTTGCATAATTAATATTTCACTAATCAGGAAATGTATGCTAAATACCATCATAACTCTCCCCCCACCAAAATAAGTAGTTGAAATTGTAATATTTTTTATGATGCTGTCGTTGCTGTTGTAGTAAACTGATTTCAAACTCACATGTGAAGAACCACATGTGGGGTCCCAAGTCTCCTGTAAGGCAAGGAAGTCTCCAGGAAATCATGGTGGCCTCCCGCACGCAAGCAAGAATCTCCCAGAATATAACCCATCCAATTTTCTCATGGAAGTCAGTGCTGATGTCAGTGGTATCACCCTGCGCAGTTAAATAAAATTGAATATGTTAAGAAAGTATCATGCCCATATATGGTAATTGACAGTTAATTGTCACAAGCTCATTTAACCAGATCTCCCAGATGAGATTGTTCCAACTTGGAACCTCTGAGTGTGTATGTAGTTGATATAACACAATTTGTTAAAAAAAAATTACCAACATCACTCAAACAAATCCAGAAGAGAACCCTCAAGGTTTATAACTTTGGAAAGTTGCACAAAATAGAGAGATCACTCCTCAATGCTGTTGCAATACAAGATTTAATCAATTCCTTGACATCAATGCAGCTGACCAGGGTTGGTTAAAAACTTTTAATAATTGTATTACTATACAAAACTGCAAAACCAAATTGCTAGCCAACATGATGGAAATGATGATGACATAACCTAGGCATAATTTTATATTTCTATTAATGTCTGTAATAATAATTATATTTGATCTTGAAGCTTTGGATTGTGACCTAATAAGTAAAATACTGTAGCAAAATATGTTGGTCAATATCAAGTGACTACATATTTGTTTTTAAGCAACATTTTTCTCTTTTTTTAAATTTTTTGTTAATTTCAGTATAATAATAAAATTAATTTTACATGTATTAAATGTACATGCATATATTTTAATATATTTCTATTTTTAAAATCATTTTTCAGTGATATGGCAGAGGGAAGGACACCAGGTTGTAAGTTTTTTTTATGCTTTTCAACCTAATAATTTAAGTTGGCTTTCTAGAATTTATAACATCATGAAAACTGAACAACTTGGTAATACATTGGCAGTGCAAAATATGGAGGTGAAAAATCCGCTGAATATTGATTGATGGAGAAGAGTACAGTATATTCTCCATGATTTCAGAGATTGACTTACAGTATGGTTATTTTTTATTCAGTATCATTGGTAAACTCTGTAGCTGGCGTTGTGGTTCAAGGTGGGACAATTAAAAATACGTATATCCAGAGTAATGTCAGGGGAAATCCAAATCTTGGCAGCGGCCAATCAGCAGGTAAGATTTTTAAGTCAGATCATAATGCTAGATGTTGTGTTGTGTTGTGTTGTGACATTAGAGCCATGTGGTACAGGGATTGTGAAGCTTGGTGGCACAGGTGATTGTTGAGCTTGGTGGCACAGGTGATTGTGGAGCTGGTGACACATGTGGTTGGGGTACTTGATGGTACAGGTGCTTGTGGTGTGATACAGGAATTGTGGGGCTTAGTGGCAAAGGTGATTGTGGCATACCTACCAAATGTCCTGCATCTGGCAGGAGACTCCCGCTTTTTGACCCCTCTCCAGCCACATACATTCTCGCAACTCCTCTTCCTGATGAATATTTATTCATTGACGGTACTTAAAGCACTTTAAGCACACTGAGTGGCCCCTAGAGTGCACAAGAGAGCATCTAGTAAATTTTCCGGGCCCTAGGCGGGCCCTGGACTAGCACCTATTGGAGTCCCTTCTATGGCAAAATCTCAAGGCAGCACTTGGTATGTATGTGGTGGAGTTGGCCTGTGGTGCAGGTGCTTGTGGTCCGTCAGAGCATGGACCTATTAATAGGTCCATGGTCAGAGGGCCTGGCCAGTTGTCAATGAGCCATGGTTGAACCTTTGGGGTTGGAGGTGAGGCGGAATGAAACTGGTAGGGCAGAGGTTGGTGTTGACTCTGGCCCATCTGTCTGGGAATGATGTACCTCCTGTCAGAGAATACAATAAATTGTATCATTTGTATCTATATATATCTTAATATTTACTTTCATGTGTGATCTAGTGAGGGCTAATCCAGGTGAAATAAGAAGTTCTGTCGTTGGAGCAGTTTTTTCTGATGTTGTTATAGACAATGTGCATTTACAATCCAATATCAACAGAAATCCACCCAGTCGTCAAGAAATGTATGAGGGTAAGATTAGGAATACAACATCTTAAAATAATTAATATGGATTTTGTGGATGATAAAGGGCATGCCTGTTACCTTCATGTTTGTTGATGATGGTGGTGGTCATTTTGATAATTTTGGGGGTGGTAATTATGTTGATGGTGGTAGATATCAGGGGTGGATCCAGGATTTGAAAGAGGGGGTGTTCAAAATTTGTCCCGAAAATGAATAATAATAATAATAATAATAATAATTGGGGTCCTCCCCGTGAAAATTTTGATTCCTAGATTGCCGGAAATGAGCTTTCCCGACTTCTGAGGTGTCTTTTAATGACCTTTAATTTCTTCAAAATTCAAGGGTTTACCCCTCTGAAAAAATAGGTCAGGTGATTTTATCTCGTTCATAATAATCATAATAATAGTCTATAATAATAATATAGAGCCTATAATGATAATAATAATTGTGATTAAATTATTATTATTAATCATAATAATAACAATAATAATAATAATAATAGTAATAATAATAGGACGAAGATTAGTTTTCAGCACAGTGAATGTAAATTAAAAATACAACAAAGACAATTGAGTTTAATTTTCAATGGAACACCACAGCGATTAATTAGATGATGATGAATTTTACCCTAGAAGACTGTCACTTCCGGCAATCTAGAGGTATTTCCCCAAATGTTCCCACATCAGCCCTCAGGTGTGGACTAGGCTGTGAAGTGGTAGGCCAAAAGTAAATACATCAAAGACAATGTTTTTAAGTTTTATTTTCTAAGTACATCACATTAATTAGATTTGGTTGCTGCAAATCGCTGGTAAAACGTCATTTGACTATAAAGGTGATGTGATGACGATGAATTTTACTATATAGAGTGTCATTTCCGATCATCTACAGCTAACTATTTCCTAAAATTTGAGGTGGGTGTGGACTCAAAAATGTCCCCTTCACCTTTAGAAACAGACTGCGCCTTTGCCAAAACCACACCTCCCCCACCCCCCACCTTGGTGCTTTGCAAATCGCATTATCCACCCCCATTGCTAAGTTCTAGATCCGCCACTGTGTTGAGTAGTTGTTTTTGTAGTAGTCTTTCTTATAGATCGATGAACCGATAGGCCTGAAGAACACACTTTCGTACATAAATTATTACGACGTCGAGCCAAAAACAGTTTTTAATTGTATTTAATTTTAGTTGGGCTAAGCCTAGTTTATCCGATCTTCCAACCTAGGCCTATGCCTAGGTAGGTGAGCATGCCTTTTGTAAGCTGGGACCCAGTAGTATTTTGTTACGTTTCTTCACAGAGGGGGGTTCGTCTGAACCCCTTGAACCCCCCCTTGGATCTGTCACTGGATATTTTATGGTTGTGGCCATTGGGATGATGTATTTATTAACTGTAACGTGTAAAATTATTTTGATGAATTTGTATTTTTGTTTATAGATTTATCATGGGATGTTGTAACCCCAAATTCCCAAGGCCTTTACTGTTTTGAAAAGAGTAGAAGTAGTGGATATTCTGGATTGCATTCTGTGGCTGACGATCTTGGTGAGGTAAGAAATGATGTACAGTTCAGATACGTAATGACAGTATTTTTTTACTTCAGTTGGATTCTGGATGTCCTTGTATACTTATTTCGACTTACAGCCATTCAATCTTATTTTTCGCTGTGACAACTTTAGTTTAGTTGGGTGTACAGACATCAATTGTTTTTCTGTGTTTACCACATATATTTTGCTGTTTACTACTTCATATATTTTGTAGTTCAGAATGTATAAAGAATTGATTGATTGAATAATGTCTTCTAATAATGTACTTTCTCACTGATTCGATGTTGAAAGCGAAGGTGTTTTGAAAATGTAGAAGAAGAAAGGCAATATAGCCTAGCTTGTCATAATGTAGTATAGACTACCAATATATCCAATCTATCAAGAAACAAGTTTCTGCACAATCCAAAATCACAGAAAAATCATGTAATGTACCATGATCAGCATTTGTTGTGTTATTTGCCTTGATTCATACTGCTTTCAACATTAATGCTACCAACTGTATTGTTTACATAGAGATTAAATCAGTAGTTGGAATATAGTTTATAGAATATAGTTTTATATTCTATTATAGCAATTATATCAGTAGTCGGAATATAGTTTATTGAATATAGTTTTGTATGGTTTTAAAATTGTTTACTTTTTTCATTTTTCAGATATACAAGATGAACTCTCATCCTTACAGGGGTGCTGCTTTTATTTTGAACAACAGTTTTTTTCCAAACATGGAACAAAAGGAACGAAAGGGCTCTGAGGTGGATGTTGAGAATGCTAAAAGGTTATGGAAAAGTTATGGCTTTTATGTCAAAACTGCCAACAATAAATCAGCTGAGGTAAAAGATAGGATAGGAGTATCCTGGTGTGAAACACATGAAGTGTAATAGTGGGGCAGGTATGTGATATGCGGGAACAACGATGTCACTTCACCCCTTCCCCCAAAAAATGGAAAATTCAAATTGGCCTCCAAAAAACACAATTTTGGCAGTTTAAAGGCTCTAAGAGCCCACATTACCATGATATTGGTGTCAATACCTATGTTCTTTAGTTCAAGGAATTCAATAAAACAACATTAAAATACAATACCATACATTTTTATCATGAAAATGCAAAATTAAATAATATATTCAAAATGACCGCCAAAAAACACAAATTTGCCAGTTTGAAGGATTTTAGTGTACATATTGA